CTGGCATGTGGTGCTGGGGGATTGAACCGCGGTCCCTGTGTTTTGCTTAGCTTAGCTTGCTCTAAGTAGGTGCTTTAGACCACTGAGCCATCTCACCAGCCCCCAATAAATAAATATTTTTTTTAAAAAATTAAAACTCCAGTAATTCTGCATGAATGAAGCATTTGGGTGCTGTGATGATCCCTGCTAAAGGGTTCCTTGTTCTCTGTTTTGTGTTTACCAACGGCACTTGCATTTTCTTTCTTTCTTTTGTTTGTTCGGGTTTTTTGTTCTTTTTTGGCAATGCAAAAGATCAAACACAAACCTTGTTCAAGACAAACATGCTTGACCACTGAACTACATCTTTAGTCCCTGCAGTCTCTGCTTCTAAGAAGTTAGTTTTGGGGCTGGGAAGATGGCTTAGTGGAATAAGTGCTTCCCTGGCAAGCGCAAGGGCCTGAGTTCAATCCCTGGTTCCAGCAAAAAAAAAAAAAGAGTTAGTTTTATTAGATACCATTTCCCTTTAATTGACGTGTGTGTAGCCAGGGGATATGGTGCATACCTGTAATTGAATCACTTGGGAGACTGAAGCAGGAGGATTATGCATTTGAGGGTCTGGACTACATAGATGACCCTGTTTCTTTTTTTTTTTTATGTTTTAAAAAAAATCTGGTTTTATTACTCCCAGCAGAAGTGGCTACATGGGGTGGTGGTGGGCTCGGCTCAGGGCCTGCATAGGCTGGAAGGAGGTGATATCTGAGTATCTGGCAGGGAAGGTGTGAGGCCAGGCCCAGGGGCCTTCAGTACGCTTCTGGGCCGACATGAAGGAGGAATGGCCAGCTACAGCTAAGCCACCAATAAGGTTAAAAAATTCTTGGAAATCTAGCCACCCATCACTGTTGAGATCCAGCTTCTTCATCGTGTAATCAAGAACACCAGCGTCCTTCTGGTTCTTTGTGAAAGCAGCCAGTTCTTTATTCAGGAACGCTAGGAACTCTGTCTTGGAGAGTGTGGTGCTATCTCCATCCCTTCCAGCATACTTCTGGAAAACAGCAATCAGGGACTCGATGTACCGCTCAGTCTCTGTAGGGCTGGACCTTTTTGTTGGTCAGGTTGGATCGGAGTGGAGTGGAGCAGAGTGGTCCAGGTGCGGAGGCTGCACCAAGCTGCTGAGTCCCCTGGGAGATGACCCTGTTTCAAAAAAAAAAAAAAAAATCCAGTTGTGGAGGCACACACCTCTGATCCCAGCATTTGGGAGGTTGAGGTAGGAGGATTACATGAGTTCCAGGTGAACCTGGGCTACATAATGAGACACTGTCTCAGCATCACCCTCCCAAAATAAAGCTGGGCATTGTGGCACATGACAGTAATCCCAACACTTTGGGGGCTGAGAGAGGAAGATCATGAGTTTGAGGCCAACCTGGGCTATGCAGTGAATTCAGTGCCAGCCTGAGCGATACTGAGACCCAAACAAAACCAAAAACCCCTCCAAAAATAAAAATACTTGAATATAAAACAAATGCTTGTTACTTTGAATATCACCTCCAGTTTATTGTTTTGTTTTGATATAGGCCTTGGTATGTAGGGCAGTCTACCCTTCAATTTATTCATACCCCAGGCTGGCTGTGAACTTATGATGGACCACCTGCCTTAGCCTTTAAGTGCTGGGATTAATGGCGTGCACCAGTATACCTGGTTTATGTTGGGTTGCTTTTAAAAATCTCTTTAGATTTAGAATTCTTTCCTAACAAAAGCCCAGGTTTTTTGAGGCTAAGCTATGCTTGACTGTATAAAGGGAGATTCTGAATCTTTTTACTTTTTCATTCCCACACCGTTTAGTGTGCAGCAGACAGTTTCCTCCTTGTAACCTAAGTGAAGACGACCTGCTGCAGAACCCACACTTCAGCCAGCTGCTGCTGAGTCTCTCACAGCATGTGGACGAGAGTGGCTTGAGCCTCTCCCTGGGCAAGGAGCAGGCCGAGGCATGGAAGGAAGTTCGACTGCATAAGACAGCATGGTTGAGGTTTGAGATTTTACAGCGAGTCATTCAAGAGCTGCTTGTGGATTACTATGTGAAGAAGCAAGACACAAATTTAACTTCTGAGGACAAAAAGGTGAATCTGAAGAGATGATGTTGGTGTCCATTACCAATTATAGGAATGACCAGGCCAGCTGTGGCCTTGTCTGATAATATGGTGTAGGGAAAGATGGGCCTTGAGTAATGGTTTATTAAAAAAGAAATGAACTGTAGTCATCAGGCAAGGATTTGAAATAGAACAATTGACTGGAGAGCCCTCTTGCTGCTGAGTTATCTGAAGAGGGTGACATGTTTGAAAACATTGGAAATGTATGAGAAGCAGTTCATAGGGATGGAAGAGGTGATAGGAAAAATTTTATAATTATCTCTTGCTTTTTATTCTCTTTTTCAGTTCCTTGAGACCCTTGAACATCGGCTACTTGTGACTGAACTGACACAGATCTTAAGCCCTGGCCAGGAGATGGGGACGCCTCTACTGCTAGGGCTGGAGAAGGCGGACCTTCTGGAACTCATGCCACCCTCAGAGGTTGGGAGTGGGTTCATACTGGGAGGAAAGAAGCAAACCAGCCTAATTTCTCTCGTTTCTTCAAGATGTGTTGTTAAGCGATACTGTTTTTGTAAAAATTAGGTACATCCATGATGGTCAAACTCAAAGAAAACTTTATGTAGAAGAAAGTAAAAGTTGAGATAGTTAAATATAAAACTTTTTTTTTTTTTTTTTGCGGAACTGGGGATTGAACTCAGGCCCTTGCGCTTGCTAGAGAAACGCTTATAGAAATATAATACTTATTATAAACAGCTTGATATAAATGGCATTATAGTCTCTATCCTTATTTTTTAATTAACAAAATTATTTATTTGACACAGGGATTCACTACGTAGACCAGACTTGTTCATAGTGACCCTCCTGTCTCAGCCTCACCAGCGTTGGGATTACAGGTCTGCCCCACCATACCTGGTTTCATTATGGCACATCCAGGGTTCCAGAAACAACATACCTATACGGTATGCTGTACCATTATTGGGGAATCACACGTGGGTCCTCACACTTGCCAGGCAGGCCCTTAGACCACAGGCTATCTTCTCAGTCCATTATAGCCTCCATTCTTGTACAGAGTTTGTTTGGGTGTTAGATTTTAGACTTTTGTTTTCTTTTTTTTTTT